AAAACAACACACAGTATGGGTTTTACGACCAAACCTCTTAAAAAGATTCCAAGCCCAGTGAACAAATGCTCTCCTCAAACAGGCAATCAAGTTATTCAGAAGGGTTTATGTAGTTTTTTAATTTCCTAACAATACTGCTTGAATTAAAGACCACTTCATGTCTGGGGCAATTTTGTAATTTATCACACACTCTGCATTTTTTGGTAGAAAATGACTTAAAACCCCCACACAAGTCTATATTTCTGAAAGCAGAGGTTTGTAGAATAAAATATGGGTAGTTGAAATTTTTTTACATTTTTTTTTCTTAATTTTGCACGATATTTGTGCAAATGTTTATCAAACATATTTTCAGTAAAAAAACAAAAAAACATTATAATACCCAATTTTTGGTAAATCAAAAAAAGATGATGATGATGCATTAAGTAAGTAGATATTAAACAGCCTTACAGTACTGGACCCTGAGTAATGGAACCGTGTGCAGCGTTTGCTCTGACCAAGGTGCTTTCCAGCAGGGTGCTATACAGGTACAGGGAGTTGGACTCCATATGCAACGGGGACCAAACCCTTGAAGGTCTTTTATGACAGAGCCTGCCATGATGGGTGAAGGTTGTACTCCTGCTATGATTCAGTCTCGTAGTGGGTATGGTAAGGGTACATTTACAGTGTTTCTTTGAAAAGAAAAAAAAAATTCTCTGGGTCATTTTCCTAGAGGCCACTAGGGGCAGTGTGCCATTTGGTTTGGCAGGGCCATGCTCTGTGTGTATCTGAAGGAGTGTTGGGCTGCAGTTTTCTCCTCCAACAACCAGGGGGCTCTGTATAGCCTACTCTTGTGCAGAGGAGGCAGAAAGTAAAAGGGAGTCCATTTTGCTTATAGTTGAAGTCACACATGGGCTGAAGGATCAGTGAGGCTCCTGTGAGATAGCAGGGACTCGGAGCAGTCTATGGCTGGATAATGAGGTGTGAGAATGACCTGTGGGGGAGCTGCATGACCAGAAAGGCCACGATTATACAGTGCATTAGTCTGCATAATATGGGGGGACTTGCACAAATGTTTTCTGATATACCCCTGCACAGGTTTCAGTGCACTTAAAGGAGTTATATCTCCAGAGTAGCTTGCATTTGATCTGCAGGAGTTTACATTTTAGCTGCATTCAGGCTGTGTTTGATGTGTATGTGCTTGGCTAGTTCTGCAAAACTAGTATGAGAGCAAGCAAAGTTAATTTTGACACAGTTCTTTGATGAAGCAATACGCTTATAGAAAAGTGGAGTGGGGCAGGTGCAACATAGTATTATATTATTGCATGCATAGCTGCAGTAGAGCTGCATAATTGTAGAACTGCATCCTTACATGAACTGCATCCTTGGATAAACTCTATTCTTACATGCATACTTGCATAAACTGCATAAACTGCATTTTATATAAACTGCATACTTACATGTACTGTATACTTGCATTGAACTGCATACCTGCATAAACTGCATTCTTGCATGCATACTTACATAAACGGCATACTTGTATAAACTGAATACTTTATATAAACTGCATATTACATGTATATTGCATAAACTGCATACTTACATAAACTGCATACTACTTGCATAAACTGCATACTTACATAAACTGCATACTTACATGTATACTTGCGTGAACTGCATCCTGGCATGCACACTTGCATAACCTGCACACTTTCATAAACTACATATGGGCATAACTGGGTACGTGTATACTTGCATAAACTGCATACTTGCTTAAACTGCACAAATGCATACTTGTATAACTGCATACTTGTGTACCTGCATGGCTGCATATCTGCACGCTTGCATAGCTGTAGACCAACATGGCTATGTACCTGTATCCCTGTGGGGATGCATAATTAGGTTTTGGCAAATACAGTTGCTACATTATTTACCTGTTATACAATTTCAATGGTCCCAGAAGGGGGAGACAGCCGGAGGCAGGTGCACTGCCCTCAGGTCCAGTTGACTAAGGGTGTAATTTGGCGGAGTTCACAATTCCAGGTAGACCAGTGGAGTTAGGTGTATCTGGGCCACTATGTTTGTCTGGCTTTGCAGCTATTCCTGAAGGTGACATTGGCAGTTGCAATGGACTGCGGTAGCATCACTCTGAACGCATATGATCTCTCCAGAGCTTGGAAGATAAGCAGGGTCGGGCCCGGTTAGTACTTGGATGGAAGACTGCCTGGGAATACTAGGTGCTGTAAGTTTTTCCTCTTCTGAGTCTGAGGCTGCTGTGTTTTGAGAAGTATCTCGGGCCAAAGGATGCTAGGGCAGTCTCTGAGGTGGTTCACTCCATCTTTAGCGGCAGAAAGCTGATAGGTTAAGGATGCCACTTTGGGACCTTTTGGGTAAGCCACAGAATTATCAGGCTTTTGCATTGCTTTTCCTCTCAGAGCAGAAGTTATGGGCTCATTATTGTAAGACACTTGACCGGTTCGGGGGCCCAAAACCAAACGGGGATGCGAGCTGTATCTTAGATCTCAAGGCACTAAACAAATTTCTAAATGGCCTTATGTTTCGGATGGGATCAGTCCAATCAGTGGCGGCTTCTCCTCTGCAATAGATTTCTAGTGTCCATAGTCAATAATTATGCATATCTTCACAGGCAAATTTTTTCCAGGCTTATGAAAGGTTTCTGCAATTTGCAGCAGAGGGTTTACAAAGCTCCTAGCCCCAGTGCTGGGCTAGGTGAATACACATGCAGTGTCAATCTCAGGATATCTCAATGATCTTTTGCTCAGGTAGCAGTCTCTTCCAAGTTTAAAGTGAAATATAAGCAGCAAAAGGTATCCGTTGTTACATCTCTGCATAAGGTTGCTGGGGAAATGATTTCTACATTAAAGCGGTTCCCTATGTACAGTTCCACTCCAGGTGTTTTGTAGAGGAACATTCTGTCTGGAACAGGAAGGTCCAAACATAGGATTGCTGAAGGGCTCTGTCCCTGGGGTATTGCAGAGTTTAAATTGGTGGTTGATTGTTCAGCATCTTGAGAATGGGAAATTTCCCAAGTGAAACAGAAGTTAGCAACCACCGATGTCTGTCTCTCCGGTTGTTTTGGGAGGTGGCTACAGTTGAGGGGATTTGGTCTCCACATGAAAGAATACTGCCTATCAATATCTTGGAATTTTGAGGCAGTACACCTTGCTCTGGAATATTGGATGAACCAGTGGCAGGGTTTGTGGTCAGGCCTCAGCCCAACAATGCCACGGCAGTGGCGTATATCAAACACCAGGGGGGCACCAGGAGTCGTGCGGCTGAGAAAGAGAGGAACCACAATCTGTCTGGGGAAGAACAACATGTGCTGTCTCTGTCGACAGCACATATATTCCAGGTATAGACAGCTGGCAGGGGTCTGTTTTCCCAGTCATCAGCTAATACTGACACAGTGGTCCCTGCATCCTGAGACATTCTCAGCAATCTGCCAGTGTTGGGGAACTTTAGATGTGGATCTACTGGCTTCCACGTTCTACAAGTTGGAAAGGTTGTGTTCAGGACATGAGTCCCACTGGCAATAGGGGCAGATGCACTGATAACACCTTAGGGATCACTTCTCCCTAATCTATGTCTTCCCCTTGCTCAGCATCCGGGAGGTGGTAATAATGAGAATAGTGATAGCCTGGCCTAGCCCAGGAGGGCTTGGTACACCAACATAGTGAATCTGGCGGTGGACACTCCTTGGACACTTCCAGTCCGGCCAAACCTATTGCCTTGGGTCCTGTTATCTCTGTAATGTTGAACACCAGGAAGCCGGCTTTAGGGAGCTTCCATTACAGGACCTTGATATCTTATTTTCTTGGTGTGAAGCCAGGAAGTAGCACCTGCAGAAATATGTGTTTGGGAGATTTTTGGGACACTTTCTCTAATCTGGAGGGGAAACGTTCAGTACCATTAAAAGGTCAGATTTCACCTCTATCCATTTTTTTTACAGAGACTGTTTCTCACTCCTCGATTTGTACTTTGTGCAGGGCGCAACAGGGTGAATAATCCTGCCTATCAGGCCACCCTTCTGTCCTTGGGACTTGAACTGAGTCTTGGCTGTCCTTGCCTGTCCACCATTTCAACCAGTTAGAGAGAATATGTTAGTCCTTTGACTCAGAAGGTGGCTTCCTTGGTTATGATCACTTCGGCAAGAAGAATGTCAGAGCTGGTGGTTCTTTCATGTAAGAAGCCATTCTTGGTCTTGCATCATGATAACGTGATGTTTGCATCCTCATCCATATTTCTTGCCTAGAGTGGTTTATAGTTTTCCTCTGAATTAGGACAGTGTCTTGCCTTTCTTTTTTTCCATAGTCCACAGTCTACAGGGGAAAGATCGCTGCATACTCTGGTTGTAGTTCGGGTGGTCAGTTTTTACTTGACTTTGTTGGCACAGGTCAGGAATCCTGGTTTGTACAGCCAGAAGGGCCCAGGAAGGGCAGGCAGCATCCAGGTAAACTATTTCTCATTGGATCTGCTAGTTAATCATTCAAGCCTATGGTTTAAGAGGACAAGGTTCCACCCTTTCGGGTGAGAGCGCACTGAACCAGGAGTGTGGGGGCATCTTGGGCTATCCACCATCAGGTGTCAGTAACTCAGGTTTGCAAGGATGCTACATGGTCGTGGTTCATACATTCACAGGGTTTTACCAGGTGGATGTCAGAGCTGTGGAGGATATTGCCATTGGCCGCAGTGTATTATGAACGGCAGAGTAGGTCCTTTGAGAATGATGGTGGCGGTTATTGTTGTGTCCCCCACCCCTCAGCTTTTATTGCTTAATAATATAACATACCTGTTCTGGGTCAGGTACTTGCAAAATAATAAAATAAAAAGAAGGGTGACTGCCTAGCTTGCACCTTCAAAAACAAGTTACAATGTGATTTAGGTGTGTTTTAAAAACACACAAAGAATATCATGCCACATGTAAGATTTAGCAGACTCATCCAGACATATCAGAACAAATCACTACAGTACATTTACATTCTACTCCAGTTTATTAAAACACCTTAAAATCTCACCGATAAGGAAGAGGACGTTTGTTTCATGGATCCCGCTCTTGAGTTGGCACGTACAACATCAAGTCGGGACTGAAAATCTGGTGGGTGCAGAGAACTTCTGAAAACCTAAAAAAAAAAAAAAAAAAACTACGTATATAAAAAAGCCAAATGCCAGAAAAGAACTGTTCTAATTATTTATCATTTTGCTATAAGTTTGCAAAATTATAAAAACAAATATAAGATATTTTGTTACCTCTAGATCTTCCTCCTCATCAATATCTTCAATATGATGAAAGGCGGCAGTCAGTACCTCCAGAGCTTTCGCATGGAACACCATTTCAACAGTAACAAATTCGCCAAATATTTTCTATATAGGGGGATAAAGATACAACTATAACAATGGGTATAATTTATATAAATAAGCAGTGTACTTCAGTATTTTTGGAAGACTCATGTTTAAAAGCAAAAATTAAGTCATGCAATCTGCATACCCTGTGCAAAAAACATTAGTACCTTTTAATGGTAGATCATGTACTTAGCATAGGCTGGGCTGTACAGGGCATGTACAGTTTATACATTTTGAAGCCCTATACAGCGGTTAAAATAAAAAGTATTGAACACATCACCATTTTTCTAAGGTAAATATATTTCTAAAAGGTGCTATTGACATGAAATCTTCACCAGATGTTGGTAACAACCCATGCAATCCATACATATAAAGAAACCAAAACAATAAGTTTAGAAATTAAGTTGTGTGTAATAAAATGGAATGACACAGGGAAAAAAGTATTCAACATGCTAACTGAAATTTATTTAATACTCTGTACAAAATCCTTTGTTGATAATGACAGCTTCAAGATGCTTCCTGTATGGAGAAACTAGTCACATGCATTCCTCAGGTGTGATTTTGGCCCATTCTTCCACACAAAAGTCTTCAAATCTTGAAGGTTCTGTGGGCTTCTTCTATGAACTCTGATCTTTAGTTCTTTCCATAGATTTTCTACTGGATTCAAGTCAGGTGATTGGCTGGCCATTCTATCAGCTTTATTTTCTTTGAAACCAATTGAGTTTCCTTGGCTTTGTGTTTGGGATCACTGTCTTGCTGAAACGTCCACCCTCATTTTATCTTCGTCATCCTGGTAAATGGCAGCAGATTTGTCCTGGTACATTTTTCCATTCATCTTTCCTTCACTGACATGAAGTTTGCCAGTACCGTATGCTGAAAAACAGCCCCACACCATGGTTTTTTCCACCTCCAAATGTCATTGTTGGGATGGTGTTTTTGGGGTGATGCGCAGTGCCATGTGACCTCCAAAAATGGTCTGTATTATGTTGTGCAGCAAACTTTACACTAGCTTCGACTTTTTCTCCAGCAATGGAGTCCTGCATGGGGAGCGTGCATACAGGCTATAGTGGTTGAGTGCATTACTTATTGTTTCCTTTGAAACAATTGTACCTGCTAATTCCAAGTCTTTCTGAAGCTCTCCTCAAGTGGTCCTTGGCACATGGACAACTCTCCTAATAATTCTTTTCACTCCTCTGTCAGATATCTTGTGAGGAGCACCTAATCGTGGCTCGTTTATTGAGGAATGATGTTCTTTCCACTTCTGGATTAAGGCCCCAACAGCGCTCACTGGAACATTCAGAAGTTTAGAAATCCTCCTGTAACCAATGCTATCAGTAAGTTTTGAAACAATAAGGTTCTGGAGGTGTTGTGGAGGTCTTGAGAGAGCGCTTTGCTTTTACCCATCATGAAATGTTTCTTGTGTGACACCTTGGAAATGAGATACCTTTTTATAGGCCATCAGTTGAGACTGAACCAGCTGATATTAATTTGCACTGACAAGGGGCAGGATTGCTTTCTAATTACTGATAGATTTCAGCTGGTGTCTTGGCTTTCCATGCCTTTTTGCTCCACCCTTTCTTCATGTGTTCAACACTTTCCCTGTGTCATTCCATTCTATTACACAACTTTATTTCTGAACTTATTTGTTTTGGTTTCTTTGTATGTATCGATTGCATGGGTTGTTATCGACATGTGGTGAACATTTCATGTCAATAGCACCTTTGGAAATATATTTACTGAAAAAAATGGTGACATGTTCAATACTTTTTTTTACCCACTATAAATGCAGGGTGGCAGCATACTTAAAATGGGGGAAAGGGCCTTTATCAGGCTGGCTTGTTGTGATTTACGCCAAGCCTGACGCAGACTCTCTGTGTCGGTCCCTCCCAATCTATCTTCAACTACTTGACCGGTCTTTCTGCCTGCATACACATCACCAAAAGATGTAAATGCTGCCCTATACACTGATTCTCTGTAAAAAGGGGTACAACTTTTCCTTAATGCAGAGCTACAGTTTTGCTGGCTAGTATATTATCCTTTATGCATTTTTAGACTGGAGTGATTCAATGCTGTTGGGTACGCTGCTTTGGGAAGTTAAAGTGGAGTTCCACCCAAATGGGGAAGTTCCGCTTTAATGCTTTGTCCCCAGCTCCCCATTAAGGATTGGCACCTTTGGGGAGCGGGTACCCGAATTTGACAGGTACCCGCTCCCACTTTGATCGCCTAGGTGTTCGGAAGCAGAAGTTGTCCTCCCTCCCCGTAGTCTTCTTGGACACGTGACAAGTCCCAGAAGACTACGGGCCATTCAAAGCACAGCGCTTCTCGCGTAGTGGGCACCCAGTTGTGAAGCCACAAGCTGTCACAGCCGAGTGCCCACACTAAAAATGCTGGCGTCAGGGAGAGAAGATGGCTGGTGAAACCAGTGGTGGTGAGGACACCACTGAACTGAGGGACAGATAAGTGGCTGTATTTTAAAAGTCAGCAGCTACAGTTTTTGTAGCTGCTGTCTTTTTTTTTTTCAGCTGGAACTCCGCTTTAAGCTGTGAGCAGTTACTTGGGACAGCTGTTATTGCTGAGAGAAAGCTGAAGAGATTCATATGAATCTTGGAACTTAGCTTTAGCTGTGGTTCATTACTCTAATTTTCTCTCAGTAGTTGGTCTCCCTTCCCTTGGTGTTTCAGAACTATGTAATATATACTTGAAATGGCTCTTGGGTTCCTATAGGAGCTACTGAGGATTAAACTGAAATATATGTTTATATGAGAACAGTTTCAGCTCCTAACTGGGTCTTTATTTCTGCCTGTAACTCTACTGGTGGGATTGTCCCTCTCCACTGGCCATATCATTCTAGCTAGGGCTATGCTGCTTGCTGAAAATCCTGCTTCTCCACTCTGGAGGGGATTCTCTATGCATTCCTCTGGCTAAACCACTAGGGAGGGGGGAGGGGGGCAGCGAACAATGTCATGCCATGAAGAAAGCCAAGGTCTGTGCATAGTTAATCAACTTGCAACCCAGCCCCAATTAGGTAAACTGTCTTTTAACAAGGACACAGACAGGAAAGCTGAACTATGGGAAAATTTCAAATTTTTCCTTGCAATGCAACTGTGCATGCACTGCGGGGGTTAACTGCTCATTTAAGTCTAGCTAACTTGGAAAATCATAAATAAAATTGAATAAAATCAATGCTGCCCTGCTAATGTGAAATATACATACCAAATCATCAATAAATTAAATATGCATATAGCATGCATGAATCAAGACAATATAAATGTCCTTAAAGACAAGTCCACGTGAAATATGAAAAAGGTGAATAAACTTTACATCAATTTTCTTCACAACTTCATATGATTCCTCACCTGCTCATATAACCAACACCATCTCTTGAAGTGCTGCAAGGCATGCAGGTTGTGCCACCTCAGTGCTCACAGAACTCTCACCTTAAGGCAATTGAAATGCGACTGTATATGGTGACTCCAAATGATTTTCAATGGCGTTTTTTTATTCTTATGTACATGTAAGTATATTTCTTTTAATAAAATCTACTTGTTATAACATACTGCACTATTGGAGTTTCCTCTGCATAAGTGTAGAAGTTTTTGACCCCAAGCCACCCTGAAAGGGATTGTTTTTTTCTCTGGTTGGGTGATCAAGGGCAAGGAAAGAGGGCACCCAGTGGTTCTAAATGGTGAATGACCAGGAGAGTGGAGGAACCTCTATTTATTTATCATAAAGCGCATTTCAATTGCCTTACGGTGCGAGTTCACGTGAGGAATCATGAAGAGGTGAAGACAGTTGATGTAAAGCTTTTCCACCGGTTTCATTTTTCACATGGACTTGTCTTTATGGACATTATATTGTCATGATGCATGCATGCTATATGTATATTTAATTTATTGATTTGGCGTGTATATTTCACATTAGCAGCACAGCATTGAGTTTATTCATTTTTATTTATGTTTTTGTTGTGTGAACACAATTTGTGATGCTAGCAGCAGCTCCATACATTATGATTTATTATCACATTGAAGTAGCGCAGCAGTTTATTCTTGGACAATTACTTTTACTTACCCAATCCTCTGCTCCTGCAAGCTTCTCTGTGGTGCTAGACTGGGCTCTGCAGCATCTTCTCTCCTTCACACCGGCAGTCTAAAGTCCTTTGATGTCAAGAATGATGCAGAGCACCACAGCGCTGCACTGGATGCAAGGATGCTGAGGGAAAGTCCACCGTCAAAGCATGGGGGAGCTCGGAAAAGTAAAAATGTTTTTCCACCCCCTAGACTAAACAAGCAGTTACGGTTTGCAGTGTAGGGGCAGCCCAACTACTAGGAAGGATTTTTTTATACTAAAGCTGAACTCCAGTAAAACACATTTGCTATGCACCAAAAAATTTTTACCTCCAATAAGTTGTCCCATATGTGTGTGGCTGCTGTATTAATTAGAACCCTGCGTTTCATTCATCCCCAACGATGCAGTGAATGCCAAACTTCTGACTGACAGCTCACAGGTCCAGTTCTCATAAGGTGCATGAAGTAAAGCATAGTGGATCACTTGCACTCCTCACCCATTCATAAAGCATCTTGTATTATACAAGGTGTTTTGTGATTGGACAAGGGAACGATGTCCTCTGCCCTTTTCCACATCCAATCACAGAATGCCATGCCTTCTATGAAACGAATACAACATGTTGTATGAATATATGAGATGGAGTGAGAGCAACCCCTCTATTCTTCACTCTATGCACCATACAAGAGCTGGAACTGTAAAATTGTCAGTGCTGGAAGTTTGGGGCTTACTGCACTGTCCGGCATTAATGAAACTAGTGAGTTATAACTCAGGCAGCAGCCATCCACACACGGCCGTAAAATAAAACGTTAGTAGTTGCAATTTTTAATGTTGCACAATATTTGTTTATAAACCCATATTTTCAGGAAAATATAATAAAATACACTTTTAGTGCAAACACACACACACTCTACAAAACTAAATTTTCTTGTTAAACTAAAAAAGATAGGGTTGCATTGAGTAAATGGATAAAACGCTTTAAAAGCCTTTACTGCAGAACAGTTTAGAGATAACTGTGAGCTATGTTGCTAGAATTATTGCTCTCACGCCAATGTCCATGGCAATACCTCACATGTATGGTGCAATTGCAGTTTACATATATGTGCACACCTCATGCACGTGTTTGCACATGCAGGTGTATGCAGGGCAAGGTTACATTACATTTTTAAAAAATGTTATTAGAATTTGATTTAAATTACCTTTATTGCTATCACAAGGGGTGAACAAACTCCCATGTGATAGCGCTGGGCAGGCGACAGGTACAGGAACCACACCAACCTCACTGTTAAAGTCAAATGAGCACAAGCTTATGGTTGCTACTGCAGCCAGAACCCCTTCACTCTCTGGATGTGTCATGTACCTCCAAAGAGTTGAAGGGGTTAAACAGCTTCTTCAATTTAAAGCTGAAGAACATTTTCAGTTTCAGTCTTTACAAGCATGTTCATAATATGCAGATAATGGAAACTCTCCAAGATTTCCATTGTTCACACATCAACATCTTTATGGATTCCTGCCTAAACACAGCATGGCCCCATACAGACTTTTCTATTGTAATGAAACCTATATAAAGTAGATTTCTCAGTTCTGGCATTCCCTGCACAGCTACTACTTTAGCTAATGGATAAAACTCAATAAGAAAAATGATTTAACTTGCCTTTATGTCTTTAATTTTCAGCTTTTCAAAATTGTCAATCGTTTCCTCAAGCTGGCGGCTTATTCGTGCAGCATCCATTGTAGCCCTCTGTAGCTCAGTCTCAGCCTTAAATTTAGAAAAAAGGTAAATTATAGGGTAGCAAGCACATATTTTGAGCTATTATCCATTAGTGGGAAACTTTTTATCAACTCTTTGACAAGGTTTTACAGAGCCTCTTTGCTTAAAGTGTATGTTACCTTAAGCATTTTTTTCTGTGTGTGTGCTCACGTGTATTTTAGAAATCAGAGGTACAGGACACTGTGCATGCACACAGCATGGCTGTATTGGGTAGTTTGTTCAGTCACTATGAACCCCTGACCTACCACAGCCTGCCTCTGGCGCACGCCCCCTCCCAATTACTGCCTGTCTCTTGAACACAACCCCTACATCTTGCCTCAGGCTGGGGAGACTATGGAATACAGGCACAATGAGTGTCTGCAGTGTCCTGTTACCACGCTCCCCCACTATCAGGAAGAAGAGATGCATGGTCACATGACAGAACTTTTTCTTAAAATCCAAGGTAAAGCAGTTATAGTGCCTTCATAACTACCGGTATCAGAGAGTATTTTACATTGTATGCTCAAAACTACTTTAAAGCTGCACTCCTGACAGATAGCTGCATGCAAAATAAAATTATATATATAAGGAACAGATCTTTCTCTAATACAGTTTCACTTTCATTTACAGGTCCCCTACCCACCCTTTGAGAATTCTGTAAAATGAGAAGCAGCACACTGATGAGCTCATCTCTCTGTCACTCTTGTTTCTACTCTGTTATTAGTATGTTCATTGCACTGTAGCACAGCTGACTGCCTCCTTATACCATTACCCCCTCCCTCTCTGAGCTCTGCTGTACAGTAGACTGCAAGAAACTGCTACAAATTATTCAAATTGTATCTGCACTATTTGCATTTAGAAAAATACATTTATAAATATATTATTAGAGCTGCATTCATTTGTGTCTTTTATGTCTGCCTGGTGTTCACCTTTTTCTAGGCCCTGTCTCCTAATGACGCCATCAGTGCAATCCACTGACCAGAAGCAGGAATAGGCCAGATATGCCTCTGTTGATCCTATTAGGTACCTGTGAGGCCTTAGGAATACAAGCTGCCAAGGCTGCTACTATTCTGCTGCTAATCAAGTATATGTTCACTGTATACCACTTAGGCAACATATTTATGAGCCAGTAGGCTGACACACACACTTGCATTGAGCAGCATGACCAAACAGGAAGCAGAGCCTGGAAATATAAAAGGAACAAATATGGCTGTAACATATATATATATATAGTTTAAATCTTTGTGTAGTCTTTAAGATGAATTCCAGGTACAGATATTTTATACATCGTTACACTAGCCCAACTTGTAAGAATGAATTTACCATACCTGACTGATATCTGATCAGATAAAGGTGCAGAGCAGGACATCACTACCCCGCCCTCTCCGACTAGTCCAATCAGAGAATGCTTTACATTCCATGAGAAAATGCAAAGCATCATGAATGGCGCGTGTGCGGAGCGGCTGACCTCCTGTGTTCAGAATGCAGGTATGGGACCTGGATGCAAGTGAAGATCACTGGAGTAGCGGTGTCTACTTCAGGGATTTCCAGCTTTTAAACCTGTCATTAAAAAAATGCAAACACTCAGCTCTTTATTACAGAAGAGACATGCTATTTATCTTCTGCAATTAGACAAACTTACCAGCATGTTTGCAAACTTCTAATGAATATACAATGAGCTGCATAAACTCAGCACACATTCTCGGCATGGAGTCAGTGTGCTAGGACGGATTACTCCTATGCGCATTTATGTGAGTCACATCATCCCTGCTGGCCAATTTGGGTGGCAGTGGTGGTGGGGGGGTTGAGAATGTCAGTGGCCAGTGAGGGATCTAATGGTCACATTGCTGGAAAGCAGAGGAGTATTCTGCAGACTTTAGTTCCGATTTAAGAGAAAAACATGTCCTGTTGATGAGGGCACAAATTGGCACAAAGTCAAGTTTTCAAAGGTTTGCGAAGATCATCTAACAACATTGTGGGACCTGAGAATTAATCCAGGGAGGGAAAATGTTTTTATGTAGGATACATAAATACACACACATTGTCTAACTATTACACTATAATGTTTTTCATGGGGGTCTGGAGCTGGTCAGTTCTAGCCATAGATCACCAGAGCAGTGATTTATTGCTGCAGGGACACACTGCATAGAGCGAAGACAGATCTGTCTCAAAGGATTGGAGAAAGGATTAGAGCTGGGTCCTTTGTCACAGCCGCTGGGATCCGCAGGAACCACTGAGACCAGCTGCCCTAATATACACTCACTAGCCACTTTATTAGATACACCTTCCTAATGCCAAGAAAATATCCCTCACACCATTACACCACCAGCAGCCTGAACCATTCATACAAGAGATGGTATTCTGCATACCATCTCTTTCTATCATCTCGAACTAGTATGCAATCAACAAGTTTTTTGCGTCCACACAACTGACGCTCACTGGATATTTTCTCTTTTTCGGACAAATCTCTGTAAACCCTACAGATGGTTGTGTGTGAAAATTCCAGTAGATCAGCAGATTTTGAAATACTCAGACCAGTCTGTCTGGCACCAACAACCATGCCACATTCAAAGTCACTTAAATCCCCTTTCTTCCCCATTCTGATGCTCGGTTTGAACTTCAGCAAGTCGTCTAAGCTCGAAAGAGCAGGGCCCTCGAACCCCTCGTGTATTGTTTTGTTACTGTACTGTCTCATGTACTGTCCCCCACTATAATGTACAGCGCTGAGCAAACCTTTTGGCGCTATATACTGTATAATAATAATAATAATTTACTTTCAGAATCAATATTTTCTATGGGACACTATACTACAAAATACTCCCACAAATGCAGGCCATTGATTGCAACCAAGATTTGTTTAACCACTTGCCCTCCAGAGGATTTACCCCCCTTCCTGCCCAGGCCATTTTTTCTGATACAGCGCTGCGATACTTTAACTGACAATTGTGCAGTCATGTAACGCTGTACATAAATGAAAAGTATGTCCTTTTTTCCCCACAAACAGAGCTTTCTTTCTGTGGTATTTGATCACCTGTGAGGTTATCTTTTTCACTATAAACAAAAAAGACCAACAATTTTGATAACTTGACTTTTTGCTATAAAACATTCAGTAAAAAAAAAAAAAAATTCATCATAAATTTAGGCCAAAATGTATTCTGCTACATGTCTTTGCTAAAAAAAAAAAAAAATCCCAATACATGTAAATTAATTAGTTTACGTAAAAGTTATAGCGTCTACAAATGGCGGTATAGATACTCAAATTTTTATTTTTTATATACTAGTAATGGCAGCAATCAGCGACTTATAGCAGGACTGCGGTGGGCATTCTTACACTTGGGGGAATTGACTGACTGCCACTGACATCCCAATGACACTAATACGGTGATCAGTGCTAATAAAAAGCATGGATACTGTAGTAATGACACTGGACAGGAAGGGTTTAACAGTGTGCTGTTTTATATGATGTGCTATGTGTGTGTTACTAGGGAGACGTACTGCTGTGTATTTCTCTCTCTCGTCCTTGCTGGCAGGAGAGAGACCTGTGTTGTTTACACACAGGTCTATCCCCTGTCAGTTCTACATGGTGATCACTAGGTACTGGCGGGGAATCTCTGTCTGGAACCCGGTGATTGACATGCCTAGCTGCCAATTGTGGCATGGGTATGTGGCCTGTGTGCCCCCTCTCCGGAAAAGCAAATCATGTGTATATATACACATGATTCAGCGCAGCCCTGCCGTCCTGTAGCAGTAGTTCTACTATAGGGCGGTGGGTAAGTGGTTAATTTGCACTCACAAAAAAGTATTTTTCTTAAATTCATTCAAGACCATGTTGCTAAAATGAATACACCCCAAAGAAAGTCTTAGGAGCAAAGCTAAAACTTTTAGACAACAGAATCCTAATTAACAAGAATTCAACTACAAGTGAGTCTAAGTATTCATTAAACAGGTGTCCAGCAGACAGTCGATTATAAAAGCAGCACATGGGCAGCACAGTGGATATATGGTTAGCACGTCTGCCTGGCAGTACTAGGGTCGTTGGTTCGAATCCCAGCCACGGCACACCTGCCTGGAGTTTGCATGTTCTCCCTGTGCGGGTTTCCTCCGGGTACGCTGGTTTCCTCCCACACTCCAAAGACATGCTGGTAGGTTAATTGGATCCTGTCTAAATTGTCCCTAGTAAGTGTATGTATGAATGTAAGTTAGGGACCTTAGATTGTACACCCCTTGAGGGTTAGGGACTGATGTGAATGAATATATATGTGTAAAGCGCGACGTAAATTGATGGCGCTATAGAAGTACCTGAAATAAATAAATAAAAGGGTGTTAAAGAAACCCTTTCACATTTCATGCTGTTAGCAATGGCACCACATGGAAATGTCAAGGCCTGGGAAAGAAAATAATTTCTTTACACAAGAAAGGTGAAGGCTACAAGAAAATCAGCAAAACTTTACTTATAAGTCAGAATACTGTAGCAAAAGTGATACAAAAATTTAACAAAGATGGAACTGCAACCAGAGATGTCCAGGCAATCCACGGAAGTTAACACCTCGACAGGAGCATCTTCTGATAAGGGTTGAGGAAACTTGCTATGCATGTTCACTGCAGTTAGCTAAAGAAGTAGAAAGCCAAAATGGGATGATTGTTTCCTGTGACACAATACAGCGTACACTGCAGAGGAATGGCGTGCATGGGTGTTGTTCACGAAGGAAGCCTCTCCTAAAGCTCATGCACAAAAAGCCCGCCTAGAATTTTCCAGGGCCTAAGCTGAAAAATGAAGACTACTGGGACTCTGTACACTGGAGTGATGAGACCAAAACAAATGTTTTTGGAACTGATGGCTTCAAAACTGTATGTAGTTGCAAAGGTGAGGAGTACAAAGAAAAATGCATGGTGCCTACAGTGAAACATGGTGGTGGCAGTGTTCTTCTGTGGGGCTGCAGAAGTACTGCTGGTGTCAGGGAGCTGCATTTCATTGATGGTATCATGAATTCACACATGTACTGTTCTATATTGAA